GTAGTTAATGGCTGGAAAAAGTAACTCTGACTGATTGGAATAATACAATTGCCTGCAGACAAGCTTATGTCGATCAAAAGCTAAAACTAGGAAGCTACTTATGCTGAACAGAAGTGGTATCCGACGTGTTACAGGATTTCTCACTGGGCATTGTGGAGTTAAAAAGCATTTGTTGAACCTAGGTATTTCTAGAGACGATAGCTGCAGACTTCGTTGCGAAGAAGAGGAAACAGCAGAATATATTTCGTGTTACTGTGATAGTTTCGCCAGACTCAGACTTTGGTACTTATCCACTGCCTATCCGCTTATAATGAAATTAAGCAAAATATTTCCAAAGGACATAATGGTTCTTACCTGCTACTCGTCTATTGAATTAAAGTGGGTATGTCACAATAATCCTGAAAGGATGCAGTGACGTGGTGAGAAGTTCCCAACCCGTTTTAAAATCGAAGCTAAGAAGTAGTCAATTTACTAGTGATATATTCTTCAATGTATATTCATTAAAATTAAATTATTAATTTCTAATGATATAGTAAAATACTTTCTGAGTATATATTCTAAATACCGCAATTAATAAAACACAAACGAACTTAAGAGTCAGAATTCAATTACCTTTAATACCATTTTTATTTCACTTCATAAATAATTGCTGTGCTGATATTTTTGCAAAATTATTTATTTATGATGTGCGCTTAACATTTCTTTTACATTAAGGCGACCTTCCTTACTGCTACCGAACAAACCTTTCAACTTAGCGCTGTTAAATTATGCGCGCATTTCTTTTAACTACATAAAGGGATAAAAGAGCAATAATAAATAAAAGTGCGAAGTTACAAAAACAAAAGTAAATCTCACGAAAAGCGGAATGAAGAGGAGAAAAAAATATAAACAAAACCATTTGACAATAAACTAAATTTGCTTTCCAACAAACACATACACACACACATAGAATGTTAACGAATTTTTATTGAGTTTTGTGGTGGAAATCAGCATAAGAACAGAGCAGAGTAGAGCAGGAATGCTGGAGTAAACTTAACATCATCCATGCAAAATATTTGTACGCAAAGATATTTGCACAAAGTATGCTCATATAAATTTAAGGGGTTATTTAGAGGTCGTTTTGGAGGGCGGAAATGGCATTTTACTTAGTGTTTGTTAGACGCACTTAAGACGACTTTTATCGCACTTGCTAAAGCATAAACATACGTTAACATACACATAGGCACACATATACGAGTATCCCTGAATAAATATATTAACAAATATTTTGCGTAAACTGACAATCAAGTATGACAAGGACTACGATGACTATATGTGTATATATATAGTAGAAATATATACATTTCTATAAACGATGAATTTTTATTTTTACTTACATTTACACATTATCCCATATGTATGCCATACTAGAATAGTTAGTGGTGTGCCTAAAATGAATTACAGTTCACAAACAGATTATTTGTGAAATTAACTGCGCCCAATGAACGTTACTACGGTTATGAGTCCTTATGGACCGATTAACGAGTAGTTAGACATTCGTGTTAGATTCGGTTTGTATGCGACAATAATAAAAATGATCTATGTTTTGGCGGGTAACAGGCACAAGGTAAGCATTATTAGGGGTAATACTGATTTGTTGGTGTTAAAAAGTTCTGCTTATTTTTATATTGAACAATAAATTTTTTGGTTTAACGCCATAAGTCAAATGAGAAAGTAGTACTAAATTTAGAACATTTATCTTTAGTACCATGTCAATAGATTTGTAATATATATAAGTACACATAAATTTGGTTAAATACTTAAGTCAGAGTGACTTAATTCAAACTAATAATACAGTTTATTAATAATTTGTCTTTGTTTCAAAATACAAGCATATTTTGTTGATATAATGTTATATCAAAATAGTACGATTGGAGATTTGGCACACTTGGTACATACTGCCAGAGACAGAGAGAACTTCATAAACATTATTTCAAACATATTGTAATTTATATAATTGTATAACATTAAATTTTAAAATAAACAATTATAGATCTTCATGGAACCTAGAAGCAAAATAATCCAAGTTTTTTATAGCGTGTTTTGATACGTAGAGGGTATACAGAGGCATAGACCAATGTTCGCTAGTTACGCGGAAGATCAGTTTACTAAGACTCTAATAAGAAGAGTCTAACATTATTATACTATAAACAATTTCTAAGTTCTAAATTAACGTAACATTTTTATAGAAGTTGTCATCTTTCTAATTAACACATTGGGGTTATCATATTGATACTTTACGCTTTTTAGTGAATGCCAGATAAAATCAGAGAATTTCCTCTTTTGTTCTGTACTTTGTTTACTTCTTGCTCTGATTAATGGGTACAAGTTTTTGACATATCTCTTTATTAGACAGTGTCCCGTCATCATGGAATATGAACATTAAACTTTACCAATTCGTTGCTCTTTTTCTTTCTGTGATCGAATCATATCATACATATAATTTGACTTATGTGTTTTTTATTCCAACTCTGGTTTGAAGGGTACCATTCCATACAATTAAAAATATACGTAACATATGTCAACAGCAGTACTCGGACACTTAAGGTATGCCTATGTTGATAGGTCATAAAGTTTGGAACATTTTCGGGATTACAATTAGTTCAAATATATCCATGACTTGATATATATTTGTTACGATATGAAATCAATAATCGTAACGAGATGGCATCATTAAGGTGATCAGCTGTTTTTATGTGGAAAAGATAGTAAGGAGACGCGTGCACATTTTTAACAAAAAATATAGAGATTTAAGTAATTGTAATTTAGAACGTATAATTGAATAAATAAAATAAAAGTTTCTGAACAATGAAATATAACAATATTTATGAATTAAGATCTTGAAGTATGAAATTATAAAATAGATCATAATCCCTGCCTTCAATTAAATAGTCAAACTGAAAATCGCAGTGACTCTATGACGTCTTACAATTTGCTTGTATATAAAAATTTTTTTTTTTTTAAATATTATCAAAAATTTTAACAATAACCGACACCAAACCTGGTTAAATTTAATTTTTGTTCATAAAATTATACTAATTTAGCTTTAAATAACTGGGAGTGTTGAAGTCCAGTCAAACTATTGTTTATCTAACCTTTTATGTATTACGTACGCTTGAAGAATTATATTTAATAAATGTGACTATTAAATAAAAATGATGGAAATCAATATTTTTTCTCTTGTTCCAGTACATGATACTGAAGAATATACATAAAAAGCTCATACTGAATTTACTGCACGCATATGTGTTGTCAATAAAAGTTCTTCAAAAGGCACTCAATTACTAGACTGACAGTAGTTGTAGAATTTAAAAAGGATGACAAAGAGAAAAAGAAGTAAAAGTAAAATAAACGTACGAAACAGTAAGATCGTGAACATTACCAATTAAAACTATGAAAAATTTAATTTGTATCGACGGGTGCACGACGGGAGAAATAGTAGTGTGTAGTGTTCATAAATTTAATGATATTCGACGTACGCAACAGTATGGGACTAACGCAATCTGCATGCATATTGAATTTAAAGTGTTCGCAACTCTTATATGGAAAGCATACGAGAATATGATGCATTGTTATGCGCACGTCCTTGCAACAGATATTACAGTAAACAGGACAGTAACATCTACAACAACAATGACTGTGGCGCAGCATGAATATTACTTGCAAGCAGCAGTAATTCTAAAAGCTTTGTGAGCAATAACAAAAGCAGCAAAAATTTTAACCAGCAGCAAAATACCACCAACAAAATACCAGCAACAAAATGCCAGCGACAAAATTACAGCAGCAAAATGACAACAATAGTAGAGAGCATTTTTATAGGAAAGATGCCATTGAGAAAATAAGTGCCATAACGTGTCGCAATTACACTTTAGCATTAACAATTTTTCATACAAAGAGTAAAACCAATTTTTTTGGTGTACTTTTAAAATTTATCCTCCACGATTTTTTTTCCTTACAGGATAATGTAACGCGGTTATTGCAATGCATTCCTTATGGTATTTACTTTTAATTTACACTTATTAAGGAATTTCGCTGCAAATTAATATTAATTGATGCTTACGGGTGGGGTATGAGTGTTGAAAATACATTCTACATTCTACTTATTTTGCAGTGCATTTTTGCTTTCAACATCGCCCCTCGTAAAATGAAATATTATCCCTTGTACTAATTTCGTTTTTATGTACTTTAATTTTCGTAGCAGTAAATAATGTTTAAAAAATAAATTACGGTGTATTTCTTTTTAGCAGAAAATTTATTCAAGTGTTTATTATATGCAAATTTATTAATGATAATAACAGTGTTAATAATTAAGTGTTGAAGGTTAAAAATAAAAATAAGTTGTGTTTTATTCAACAACTTTTTTGTTTTTTTTTTTGTTCATAATTTTTTTCACCTTTTTGATGAGTTTCCTCCATAGTCATGTGTCACAGCTATTAAACATTTTAAGTAATTGTGAAAACGAGCAAATTTATTAAAATTTTTACTTGTATATCGTGAAAATTGTAATTAACAAAAACACTTTATTAACGAAATATTTCGTCAGATATTGCGCTTTATTTATATTTTTACAATTAATTAATTTCTAATTTGTAAAGTTTAATAAGGATTTTTCCCTTCAATGACAGCAATAGCAGCAATGTCAATGTCAATTGCTTTGTTTTGCTTTGTTTTGTTTTGTTTAGTTTTCAATTGTAAAGTGCTTTTATTCGCTGTTTTGAAGGTGCAATTTTGCAGAACATTTTGCCTTGTCAGTGGCGTTGACAGATTTATAGCTGGTGTGTGACAGCGTAAACGAGTGTTGCAATTTTAAAACGATAAAGTGCACAAAAGTGGAAAAAATGTAAGAAAAAATAAAATATAA